GTGGTCGGTTTGTTCCAGATACACTAAGCTGCTCCAGACTATCCAGGAGTGGCTGTAATTTTCCTGGCACTGCCTTAGCTACCAAGTCCTGTAGAAAACGTTCTCGCTGAGGACCTGACCAACTGGCAAACCAGTGAAGAATACACTTCATCTCCTGGGAAGTGATGTAAGACATTGGAGGAAGAGAAGAACTGGTAATAGTGTCTGGTACTGAGGGTAACAGAGAAGGGAAGGACAGTGGCACTGAAGAGGAAGGTGATTCCAGTGGCATCCTGAAACATAGATTGTTATTATCTCTCCAGATAGAGCAACCAAAATTAATCTTACAAGTCATATCACATTCAGTCTATGATTTTTCACCAATTTGTTTATATAAATGCAAGAAAATTTCATCATCATCCAACTATCTTAAAGAAAAGTCACTCAAGAAAAACTTTATATTTGTTATTTTATTTATTTATTTTTTTCTTTTGTGGAACTGGGGATTGAACTCAGGCCCTTGAGCTTGCTTACTACTGAGCCATCTCCTCGACCCAAAACTTAGTATTTGTCAGTCTCTTTTCTTTTTCAAACCCATGATCCCCCCACCTCAGTCTCTTCCCACCTTTTTTATAAGGACTATAAAAATAACCAATCAAGCCAGCCTGGGCAATATAGAGAGACAATGCTTAACATATTTCTTGCTTTCTCTCTCTCTCTCTTTTTTTTTTTTTTTTCTTTCCAGAACCTGGGATTGAACTCAGACCCCTGTGCTTGCCAGGGAAGCGCTTCTTCTACTAAGCCATCTCCCCAGCCCCAATCTTGCTTTTTCTCTTGCTCCTACCTCTGTGTTCCAACTTGAGAGGAAAAAAAAAAAAATGTTGATTTGCATTATCTTCTCTAAAATGAAAAGGTGCCTTCTGAGAAAAATCGTACATGCAGTGTATCAGCATATCAAGGCCTAAATGCTAACTGTCCCAAAGCTGTCAACTGAAAAAAGGGAAGCAGGAAGGAAAGAGAAAAAAATATAGCCCCACATGGTGCCACAGGCCTCTCTAATCCAGCACTCTGGAAAGCTAAGGTAGGAGAATCACAAGTTCAAGCACAGCTTCGGCAACTCAGCAAAGACCTTTTATGAATACAAAACAAAACAAAAAATTATAAAGAGCTGGGGATGTAGGTCAGTGCAAAGGGCCTATGAAACAGCCTTTTTTTTGCAGTACCAGATATTGAACTTAGGGCCTTGCGATACTGAGCCATCTCCCCAGTCCCGAAACAGCCTTCTTTGCAATTTGTATGTTGACACTTAGACCTCCTTAACATTTCCTATAAAACAAAGAAACACTGACGTGCATGCAGGGTAAGTCTTGCCCCAAACGTTCTAAGAAAGAAATGAGAAGCCAGATTTTCAAAGCTCTGAAGGAAGTCTATTTGGTCTGCTAGCATGGGGTCTAACGTTGGTACATGACCTTCTGTGTCTCTGTATAATTTTCCCTAATGTTTTATATGATACCTACTGATGTTCTCCCACTGATTTTGCACTATGCGACTAAAAAGGCAGCTACTTTGGCTTTAAGAGTTTTCAGCCCTACAGTTTGAAAGTCTAACTGTGAAAATATTTGTGCACTGCATATTACTATGTTTTTTTCTGCTGCAACTTGGAAGAAATGGTGACAAATGAGTCCTTAAACAATATCAGTTTAAGGACCAAAACAGTGCAGCGGGGCTGCTGTTTCCAGAATGGCTCTACAGGAGGCCGTTCCTTCCCCCTAAACTTTATTCTTATTCTGAGAAAGTTTTCCACGGTTTTGTCACGTGGCGTTCACAGCATGCTCAAGGGTGCTCCCTCTTGTCCACTTGGGGGCCACAAGGCTCTTACTCTCATGCCCCAAAAGAACACGTATGCCTTTATTCACTAGACAGGAGACCGCAGCTGTTGTAGGGAGCTTTGTAGGGAGGCTTGCCCTACAAAGGCAACCCGCAAACACGACCCAAGCCAGAGTATTTCTTCCCTTCTTACCTCCCTTTTCCTCTGAGAGCCCTCGGTGATTCTCACAAGAGTAGTGCGATTTCAACTACCGAGGCTGCTTCCATAGTTCCTGAAAACCCTAAACTGAGCCAACCAGCAGCCCACGCACTTCCGGTCTCGGACCAGTCCCAAACACCCCAGCGCCCCAGCTCCGGGTCCGGAAATAGCCGAATAGCTCCGATTATGGTTATGCCAGAGGCGAGGGCTTCCGAATAGGTTCGAGTCAACCCCTCGGCAAGACGAAGATAACCGAGTCTGAAAACAGGGTGAAGAAGGGGGAGAAGCAGGGCGTATGGAAAGAACGGATTGGTGCCGATGTGGAGACGGAAACACCCGAACAATTCCGGAGGAACCCGGGATTTCTGAGTGGTAATCGAGGGGTAGACTATAGCAGTGGGCGGGGTCACCTCAGTACGTTCGAAGGGCGTTGGCGGAAATTACCGAAGATGCCCGAAGCCGTCGGGACGGACCCGAGTACCTCACGCAAGATGGCGGAGCTGGAGGAGGTGACTCTGGACGGGAAGCCTCTTCAGGCGCTACGGGTGACCGACCTAAAGGCCGCACTGGAGCAGCGAGGCCTAGCCAAGAGCGGGCAAAAGAGCACCCTGGTCAAGCGGCTCAAAGGGGTGAGAAGTCGGCGTTGCCGGGTTATCGGAGGGGAGCGGACCCGGTAGAGACGAGTCTCCACCGCGGCGCAGGCGCAGTGTCCGGGCTCGGCGCGAGCTTTCAGGCCGCCAGCGCGAGCCTGCGGTTCCGCGCGGACGGTGGTTGGTGAAGCTCGCGCCGGAGTAAAGATCGCGCCGGTTCCCGCCTTAACGGCAGCAGCGCAAGCCCAAAATGGGAGGGTGCGCGCTACTCTCCCGGAGTGTCTTAAGCTCCTTCCTCCTTCCCCCACCCCCTCCTTGTTTGTGTCTGTGGTTCCGGCGCATGCGCTGCAGAAGGAGTTAAATCCCACTACAACCACTGGCTTTGCTGGCCTGAGGGGGGCGAGTTGGGCTGGGTCCGAGTTGGGGGCACTGTTGGGCGGAGGGTGTATTGGGTTAGTATCTGTATTTGCAAGAATACTTTGAGGTTAGGGTTAAAATGTCTACTGGATTAGATTAGGAGATGAGACTAAAAGACTTTGAGTGAGATAGGGGTGGCTGTAGGGAATCCAGAAGGAATTTGGATGGATAAAAATTTAGTGACTGTTGGTCAGAGTTAAAGCTCGTTGGTATACGTTAGGGATTTTGAGTTCGTTTAAATAGATGGGGTTGGGCTTGTTATGATATAGGCGAATTGGTGTGTACAGGTTTGGTAAAAATGGAAAATGCTATCTTGGTACTACCGATTAGAGGTAGGTTGGCTCAAGCGTTGGCAGACCGTTGCTTATACATAAACTGACACTTTTGTGTGGGTGTGGATTAGGTCAGACCACATTTTACAAGGTCCGTAGTTGTTTTCTGTAACTCTTACACATTTTTATTAATTGATAAACCTGTGTCGTTCTGAATTATACGTGATCGCCTAAGTAGTTGTGTTCCTGGGTAACTGAACAAGTAACTCGTACAGGAGCCCACGTTGGTTTCATAATTTCATGTATTTGAAGTTTGAGTATTAGAAGAAACAATTTTATGTATGTGATCAGTTGTAGAAGTGTTCTAGTTAAAAATGTAGACGATAATAGAGATTTTAGTATTGGTTCTGCCACCGTTTATTCTATGACATAGCCAGGTCACTGATCCTCTATATGCCTCTTATTTTCATGTGTGCCTTTAGGAGGGGTAACCATGGCTACTGTAAGTCTGGAAGATGAATGAGAACAGTACAGGGCCGTTCAGGTTCTGTAAGAGGAGTACAGTTAAAGTTTATGTTTAAGTCATTGAGTTAAATGAAGAGGTGATGGGAGGTGTGGAGGTTTGGTTTCTTCTTTTTTTCTAGGTTTCTGACCTTTGCCCTTCTCTATACCAGGCTCTAATGCTAGAAAATTTACAGAAACACTCAACTCCCCATGCTGCATTCCAGCCAAATTCCCAGGTAAGAAATAATTTTTGTTAGTTTGGAATGGCATGGCATTGTATATTTTGGTTGGAAATGTTCTTATGCTAGGACAATTGAGTTCAAATCAAGTCCAGTTTTATACGAGAGCATGAAGTAAAAGGCAGATCAGAGGAGCCAGTAATTTCATGTACTGTCTGAATTGGTACACACCAAAAGGGATGACTGGTCAAGTGTTGTGCAGGGATCTAAAGTCATTTGTTGTTGATTTGGGAAAAGTAGTTGACAACTTTGAATATAGGTATCCAAATATGATTAAGAAGGAGGCTTCAATAGGACAGTGTAGGAAAATAGTTGCTAAACTCTTATTGACATAGAATTTTGTTTTCAAGGTTAATCTAGAGCCTCACACATGCAAGTGCTTTTCCACAGAAGTATATTCTCAACTTGAATTCAGTTCTTTTTAAATCACACACCATTCCTGGTATTAACTACCTGTATGTGGTGATCCTCCTGCCTCAGCTTCCCATGTAGATGGGATTACAGGCATGTGCCTTCATGCCAGGCTTTTTTGCAGTTACTTTTTTTTTGAGGGGGGGAGGTGTAACCAGGGATTGAACTTAGGCCCTTCTGCTTGCCAGGCAAGTGCGGCTTTTACACAGCTACATCCTCTGCTTTTGGTTTTAGCTTTATTTATTTATTTATTTATTTATTTATTTTGTGGTATTAGGGATTGAACTCAAGACTCTGCACTTCCCAGGCAGGCATTTATTATACTGAGCTATCTCCCCAGCCCTAGTTTTTTATTTTGAGACCGTGTTTCATTAAGTTACTCAGGCTGAGCCAAAGCTTACCATCTCCTGCCTTAGCCTCTGAAGAGTGCTGTTTATTTATTTATTTGTACAGGGTCCTGCTACACAACTCAGACTCCTAGTGATCCTCCTGTCTCAGCCTCCCCAGCACTGAGATTACAGGTGTGCGCCACCAGACCCAGGTTTGGTGCTTTGCTCCAGGTTCCCGGGTGGCATAGCATGTGGTACTGGGACTTGAACTCAGGTCCTTGCACTTGCCAAGCAGGTGCTTAGGCTGAGCTGTCTCCCCAGATTGCAGTTACTCTTTAAACATCTCTAATAGTTCTGTTGCTTAGGATAACACTTAACCTTTGGAGGCTTTGGTTTTATTTATCTGTAATATAAGAAACAATTGCATTAGATCTACAGTTCATAACTTATGGGCTTTTGTCAATCTGCTTTTTAGCTTCTTGGGGTGAAAGAAATACATCAGCAATCTAAGCATCTACCTGTTAAGCATAAGGACCCGTGTTTGATCCCTAGTACTACATGCTCTACCAGTCCCTGAACTGGGCATGCCACCAAAACCAGGCATGGGTACATTCGGTGGTGCATACCTATAATCCCAGCACTAGGGAGGCTGAGACAGGAGGATCACTGAGTCTGAGCTGTGTAACAAGTCCCTGTACCAAATTTCTTTTTTTTTTTTTTTGGCGGAACGAGAGATTGAACTCAGGCCCTTGTGCTTGCCAGGGAAGCACTTATTCTATTGAGCCATCTCCGTGGCCCCCAAATGTTTTGTTTTTAAAGGGCTTCTTTGGGAAGATAAATTTTTCTGAAGTAGGCAAGGTTCTTATTTATTTTTTAATTTCTCTTAAATTGCTAGATTAGCTCTTCTACTTTTTCTTTTCTTTCTTTTTTTTTTTTTTTTTTTTTTTGAGGAACCAGGGATTGAACTCAGGCCCTTGTGCTTGCCAGGGAAGTGCTCATTCTACTGAGCTATCTTCCCAGCCCCCCTTTTTTTTATTTTTAACAAATTCCAAAACAACAGGATAAGGTAACAATTATTAATACATTCCATGTAAGATCTACTTTTATAATGTATTAAGTTTATTTGTGCTTTTTTGAAATTATCTGGCAGTAAGAAGGAAAAGTTTTTAGACTGAGTTAGGCATAGTGGTGGATGCCTGTAATCCCAGGGATCAGGAGGCTAAGGCATGAGGATTGCTGTGAGTTGGAGGCCAGCCTGAACTACTTAGCAAGACTCTCTTTGAAAAAACAACAAAATTTTTTAGACTGCAGTCCACCCACCCCTATACTGAAAATTGAACCCAGGACCATTACATTTAGCTCATCCTCAGCCCTTTTTTTTGCGGGGGGGGGGTGAGGGGGGGATCTGCAGAGTGTTCAGGGTCTCACTACTAGATCAGACTCATAGTGATCCCCTTGTTTACAGCCTCCCAAGATCTGGGATTACAGGCCAGCACCACCACACCCAGTCTCAATTGTTGTCTCAGTGCTCCCTGGGGGCAAGGCTGGCATGGCAGGCCCAGGGATTGAACCTGGACCTTGTGCTTTAATCCATTGAGCTATTTGGCTGGCCCTCTTTTTTTTTTTTTTTAAAGAGAGTACAAATTAGAATTAAAACAAAAACTACAAGTAATACAGAATTTTAACAAAGTAATATGAATTTCACAATATTTGTTGTAATACATAGAGTTGTATTTAAACCTGTTATTGTATTACAAGATACATGTATGTAAAATTGGAAGAAGAAAAAAGAGAGAAATGCATAAGAAATTATGAAAAGGAAAAAGTACAATTGAAAAAAGGGCCTGGGAGATGGCTCAGTAGAATAAGCGCCTCCCTGGCAAGTGCAAGGGCCCAAGTTCAATTCCTAGTTCCACAAAAAAAAAAAAAAAAAAAAAGGGGGAAGACAAAATAAATTTAAGTATTATCTGCTCCTCTCCATAGACAAACAGAAATGCTCAGTACAGTTGTCCAAACCATCCTGCTTACATGCATAAATAAATCTCTTTTCTCTACTCCCTCTCCTGTGCTTCTCTTTAATTCAGTAACTCCTTTTGAGTAAGTTTACCCAATATATATTGTACCATTCAGATTCCATTTTTCGCTTTCAGGTTCTGACACTGAGGAGACAATATGGTATTTGTACAGGTGTCAGCCTTTTTTTTTTTTTTTTTT